AGCAACTCGAAAAGACAACACCATGATTTCGTCCCATCAAACCAGCTCTTGATTAAGGCTAGTGCTCTAGGACCACCTAGCCGGGATCCCTTTTTTGGTTTCTAGCATTGGCAATGAGTACGAGTGCAGCTGTGCTTAGTTAAGACAATAATAATAAACGATATCACTTGTATGGACCTTGCCAGCAATGACATGAGCTTGTTGAATTATCGTACTACACATTTTGAGTTTTTCACATTATTTATCGTCATAAAGTATGGTGAGACGGATTAGCAGGTACAAGTGAGGAGATCCAACCAACAAGAACAACCGCCTTAAGGACAGCTTGACACACAAGCACTAAGAGCGCGCAGCCCGCTGAGCTTTTGCTCAAACCTGGTACTGTCGAGGCATATGTGATTCGTAGTGATGCAGAGCTAGCAAAAGGTATCCTCTACATTTCCAAGACCTCGATGTAGTCATGTGGCTGTTCGACTCCTTCCTGGGGCATGACTCTTGCCCCTTACAAGGTTCTACTTCACCTAAGGAATTCCGATAAAGCCAAGGCGTTTCGCGATAGCCAGGCACACACCAGCTCGAGGGTGCGAAGAAAGGGGTACCGTCTTATGAGCGAAGAGAATATGAAATAGCAGCTCGGAGAAGGAAATCGTTCAAAAACCTGAAGACGTTCTATTTAATTACCATCATTGTCGGGTAACTTGTCCAAGTTGGTAAGAGATTTGCAGAATTATTCGTTAGCGAAACACGCTGCAAAGTGCCCGTCAAGAAAGCACATAGGCATACACTGGAGAACGTCACAAGAGTTGAGATTTCGCGAACGGAAGAGAGAGAAGCAAATCGCTAGGAGGAGAGCAGAGTCTGCAAAGGACAGAGAGCCTCTACCATGTCAAAGACGCTTGATAAGACGTTAGAGAGACCACAGGAAATAACTGAAAGATGCAACATTACTTTCCAGGCGTGTCGTCTAATGTCAGCACTGAAACAGCCTCGCCAACAGCTGACCCTGTGAAAGGACCAGTTTCCCCATT